CATATAACGTGATTTGATGTCATTTTATCTGTGGCCAATGACCTTGAGCCTTCTTGGATGGGCACTTCTAATGTAACTCTATGGCAGGACACAAAGGGCTTGAATTTTCGATGTCTACCCTTACTAAGGACTTAGACTTGGCGGTGAAGTAGTGTCCCAATGAGTGACAGAACACTGAGCCAATCACGGCGCAACGCTCCTATTTTCTGCTGGCTTGCCCCACCACCACAGAAAGCACTGAGCTAGGCTGAAACGCCTGCATTTTGGAGCTGCCTTACTCAAGAAAACAATAAAGAGACCATGTTTGTATGAGGCTTTATTATCTCAATGATTACAGTGAGCTATATTCATTGGACAGTGACATTTTTTGTATTTGATCTGTATCACACTTTGAGTTTAAATCATGACAAGAGGTGAAGTGCCATGTCAGCTTTAATTGAGGGTATTTTCATATACGGATGAATTTAAAATGAAAGCACCTTTATACTGGTCCCCCATTTTAAGTACTACAATATTTTTAAATGCTTCATGAGGCGTTCATGTTCTTTTGTTCGTTAGTGACATGCAAGACTGTTGAGAATAGCATTGATTCTAGACTTTGCAGCCTTGTAGTTGTTTTTTGGGTGACAACATGAGGAAGACAGCAGTGTCGATGCAAATGAAGCTGGCCGTCATAAGGCTCAGAAATGAAAATCAATCAATCAGGAACATTGCAAAAACCCTGGCCATGCCCAAGTCAACAGTTTGGTTCATCATTAACAAGAAAAAAACAACCGGTGAACTCAATTATGTCAAAAGACCCGGTAGACCGAGGAAGACCACTGTAGTGGATGACCGGAGAATACTCTCTATGGTGAAGAAAACCCCCCTGACAACAGCCCAACAGATCAAAAACACTCTCCTGGATGCAGGTGTAGATGTGTCAAAGTCTACCATACGTAGAAGACTACACCAGCAGGACTACAGAGGGTACACTACAAAATGCAAACCACTGATAAGCCTGAAGAACAGAAAGGCGAGATTACAGTTTGCTAAAAAGCACCTAAAAGAGCCCCAAGAGTTCTGGAAAAAAAGTATTGTGGACAGATGAGACAAAGATTAACATGTACCAGAGTGATGGAAAGAGGAAAGTGTGGAGAAAAAAAAGAAATGCCCATGATCCAAAGCATACCACCTCATCCGTGAAACATGGTGGAGGGGGGTGTTATGGCTTGGGCCTGTATGGCTGCCAGTGGAACAGGCTCACTTGTCTTCATCGATGATGTGACTGCAGACAGAAGTAGAACAATGAATTCTGAAGTCTATAGAAATATTTTATCTGCTCAGATAAAACCAAATGCCTCCAAACTCATTGGACGGCACTTCATCATGCAACAAGACAATGACCCTAAACATACTGCTAGAGCAACAAAGGGGTTTTTGATGGCCAAAAAGTGGAAAATCCTTGACTGGCCGAGTCAATCACCGGATCTGAATCCAATTGAACATGCATTTCACATGCTGAAGAGGAGACTGAAGGCAATAAGTCCCCAAAATAAGCAGGAACTGAAGATGGCTGCAGTACAGGCCTGGCAGAGCATCACCAGGGAAGATACCCAGCGTCTGGTGATGTCAATGCATCGCAGACTTCAAGCAGTCATTGCATGCAAAGGATATGCGACCAAATATTAACAATGATTACTTTATTCTACATTATGTTAAACTGTCCAATGTTTTTTGATGCCCGAAAAAGGGGGGGACCATGTACAAAAGCTTCTATAATTTCTAAACGGTTCATCCGATATGTATGAATATACCCTCAAATTAAAGCTGACAGTCTGCACTTCACCGTCATTGTCATTGTATCCTTTCAAACTCAAAGTGCTAGAGTACAGAACCAAAATAACAAAAAAATTGTCACTGTCCAATGAATTATGGAGCTCACTGTATATATATTTTTTTACATTGTTTGCAAACTGATATGTAACACCTATTAATGCCAAAATAACATGCAAAACAGGCAAGCTCCACTCCCCAATGAATAAATATATATATATATATATATATACACTACCGGTCAAAAGTTTTAGAACACCAACTTATTCAAGGGTTTTCCTTTATTTTTTACTATTTTCTACATTGTATAATAATAGTGAAGACATTAAAACTATGAAATAACATATGGAATCATGTAGTAACCAAAAAATTGTTAAACAAATCCAAATATATATTATATTTGAGATTCTTCAAATAGTCACCCTTTGCCTTTATGACAGCTTAGCACACTCTTGGCATTCTCTCAACCAGCTTCACCTGGAATGCTTTTCCAACAGTTTTGAAGGAGTTCCCACATATGCTGAGCACTTGTCTGATTTTCCTTCACTCTGCGGTCCGACTCATCCCAAACTATCACAATTTGGTTGAGGTCGGGGGATTGTGGAGGCCAGGTCATCTGATCAGCACTCCATCACTCTCCTTCTTGGTAAAATAGCCCTTACCCAGCCTGGAGGTGTGTTGGGTCATTGTCGTGTTGAAAAACAAATTATAGTCCCACTAAGCCCAAACCAGATGGGATGGCGTATTGCTGCAGAATGCTGTGGTAGTCATGCTGGTTAAATCACAGACAGTGTCACAAGCAAAGCACCCCCACACCACAACACCTCCTCCTCCATGCTTTTCGGTGGGAAATACACATGCAGAAATCATCCATTCACCCACACGCGTCTCACAAAGACATGGTGGTTGGAACCAAAAATCTCAAATTTGGACTCCAGACCAAAGGACAAATCTCCACCGGTCTAATGTCCATTGCTCATGTTTCTTGGCCCAGGCAAGTCTCTTCTTCTTATTGGTGTCCTTTAGTAGTGGTTTCTTTGCAGCAAATCGACCATGAAGGCCTGATTCACACAGGCTCCTCTGAACAGTTGAAGTTGAGATAAGTCTGTTACTTGAACTCTGTGAAGCATTCATTTAGGCTGCAATTTCTGAGGCTGGTAACTCTAATGAACTTATCCTCTGCAGCAGAGGTAACTCTGGGTCTTCCATTCCTGTGGCGGTCCTCATGAGCCAGTTTCATCATAGCGCTTGATGGTTTTTGAGACTGCACATGAAGAAACTTTCAAAGTTCTTGGAAATGTCCATATTGACTGACCTTCATGTCTTAAAGTAATGATGGACTGTCATTTCTCTTTGCTTGTTTGAGCTGTTCTTGCCATAATATGGACTTGGTCTTTTACCAAATAGGGTTGTCTTCTGTATACCCCCCCTACCTTGTCACAACACAACTGATTGGCTCAAATGCATTGAGAAGTAAAGAAATTCCACAAATTAACTTTTAACAAGGCACACCTGTTAACTGAAATGCATTCCAGGTGACTACCTCATGAAGCTGGTTGAGAGAATGCCAAGAGTGTGTAAAGCTGTCATCAAGGCAAAGGGTGGCTATTTGAAGAATCTCAAATATAAAATATATTTTGATTTGTTTAACACTTTTTTGGTTACTACATGATTCCACGTGTTATTTCATAGTTTTGATGTCTTCACAATTTTTCTACAATGTAGAAAATAGTAAAATTAAAGAAAAACCCTTGAATGAGTAGGTGTTCTAAAACTTTTGACCGGTGGTGTATATATAATTTATATATTTTTGTTGCTAAAAATGTGGGGTTCAAAACTGAATAACGGGTCGCCACTGAAAATTTGAACCAAATATGGATGTTGATTTCATGTTGACTTCAGGTCATTGCCCCGTGGGTTATAACTAACCAAATGTTTATCAATAAGAGTAACACATCCAAACTGCTCACTTGTGTTTTGTACAATGTATATGGTTTGAAATGAGATGATGTGGCTGGAGACTTTAGAGAGTGAAAATTGGCTTCCCAACTTCCCGCTGGTGCCCCAACCACACAAGCAATATCCTATTTTTCTGTGATTAATGCCTCCAACCCACATTTTCTTGGCCTGGAAAAGTAAAGCCACCCACATATAATCATATTTTGCCCTCAAATGAACTGCAGGGATCGATGCTGGTGTTGTGGCATGAAATCATATCTTAAATTGGATGGAGATTTGTTCAAAGCAAAAGTTTGCAGTCACATGAACATTCATAAATACACTTGCTGAATTATAGAGTTGAATGGGTGCTTTCAAAGAATACTCATAAGACATAAAATGGGATATAGATTCAGAGTAGCATATACTAGTGGTTTTTATTATGTTCATTACAGATTGACAATACTGTTGATATTTCCAGACTGATTTGATAATATTTGTATATATAGATTAAAACAATCAAAACAAAAAGCAGCATAAATGCAAAGATGTGGTTCACTTGAAAATACATACTTTAAATGCAAATGTATACTATCCAGTAGTAACAATATGTAGGACACAGATAAGAACAGCAATCTGAATATAAATAGAATCAAACCCTCAAAAGCACTGACTAGTCCTAATCCAAAATATCAGCATATCGACAAAAGGATTGATACACTTGAAGCTTTATGATAGCCACTGTAAATAAAGTCTGAAATGTGTACATGATTTGATGCATAATTAACTACAATATTAAGGAGGAAAGTAAAACATGAAAGTAAAACATGAAATTAGTTTAGATCAAAAGCTTGCAGCACCAGAAATTAATTAATAGGGATGAAGTTGTTTTGGCTATTTTGCTTTAAAAAAAAAAAACACCATATAAAACTTTGTTGGTTACTACATGATTCCATTTCACTATTATTCTACAATGTAAAAAATAGTAAAAATTAAGAAAAACCCTTGAATGAGTAGGTGTGTCCAAACTTTTGACTGGTAGTGTACATCCAAGTATAAGTCCTCAATCCTCTTATTTGAGGAAAGTGCCATATAAAGTGGAACACATTAGAACAGAATAACTACATTTTTCCCAGAGGGAACCTCAGTTTTCCCTTTAAAATCCCTTTAAAATCCATGACCTCCATTCGTTTGGTAGGTGTTCTTTCACACTCAAACTCACTGGTCAGTCAAAAGACCAAATGTCAGATGGACATGTAGTGTTTCCCAAAGCTGGTGAGCTCGATCTTCTCGGGGAGGATGATGTTGACCGAGTGGCCTCCCTCATAGTCGCCGTTATTGGCTATCAACAAGTGCTCTCTCTGCTGGCGAACCAGCTGGCTGTACTTGGCGTTGGCCATGCACGTCTCGCAGCGGTTGATGAAGATAATACCCGTGGTTCCCAGGATCACCATGCAGCTGAGTAGGCCCAGCATCCCAAAACAGATGAGCTGACTGCGGGTGACCAGGCTGGCGGCAGAGGGCGCGTGAACCGTCTCTTTCAGGGTGATCTTAAGAAGATCCCTCTCGAGAGGCCTGAGTAGTTTATGGAATGCGTGGGCAGGTAGGCTGTGGTGTTGTGGAGAGAGTTTGGCCGGCCTGAGTTTGGCTTTGGGCCTGTGTGGCTGCTGGGTAGGCGTACATTTATGCCCGTTGAATGTGAACCCTGGGGGGCACAGACAATGGTATGCGCCAGCCCTATCCGTTTGGCTCCCCACCACGCAGGTGCCCCTGTTTCCACAGGGGGCCCTGCTACAGGGAAAGAGGGTGTCCACATGTGTGTCGTTACAGGTGGGGCCGTTGAAGCCCATGGGGCAGGCGCAGGTGAACGCGGGGCCATGGTCAGTGCAGTTGCCCCCGTTGAGGCAGGGATTGGGATCACAGCTGTCAGTGTCAATCTCACAGAAGTCTCCAGTGAATCCGAGGGGACAGGCACAGGAGGGGTAGGCTGCCAAGCCATTGGCATCGACGCAGGTGCCACCGTTTTGGCAGGGAGAGCTGAAGGGCAAAGCAGTTCAGTTTGATTTATCTCTATTTAAGTCCACAGTATAAAGCTGTACAATGGCTTATGGCAACATATACAGCTCAATAGAGCTTTTTAGATTTGTCTTTAATGTGACCATTTCTCATAAACTTGGTCAAATTATATATTTTGTTTTTAGCCAGTATTGTGCTCATAGCCCCATGCTCACAGCCATTCAAACAGTATGCCTTTTTAATCATGTTATACTGTTATACACAGTGAGTGCAAAAAAAAAAAAGCACTTGACATTTTTTGGGCCCTTTCAAAGCTTAATGAAGCTCCAGGATTAATGAGCTCCATTGTGAGCTCGGTATTTAGGATTGTTTCTCAAAGTCCCCAAAAAAGAAAGGTACTATACATGTCCATGCAAAAGTCATTTCAGTTCGAAGATTTAAATAGAACTGAAATGATTGATTGTCGACTGAAGAGAAAGGACCCACAGTCTAACAAAGAGCTAAGATAGTGGGACAGTGAGGCTGGCTGGCAGGCAGGTTGTATAATCAGTCTCCGGAGACAAGCCTGTATTGATTTGATAGGTGGGAAGGATGACACTCCATGGATTCAATAGCAAGTAATCTGGTATAGAAAAAGCTTTAGAGATTAAGCGATTTCCCAGAGTTTAATTAAAGGTTTTAATTAAGATAATGCAAACCATATCAGATTTTCGTACCCGCTTGTTAGACATGGTTCCTTTTTCAGGTGGCAGCTCACTCCTGTGTAACCAGGTGGACAAATGCAGAGGTATCCTCCATGGCCAGTCTCGATGCAGGTGGAGTTATCAATGCACAATTTACACTGGTTGGTATCTAGAAAAAGCAGAGCGTGTTGTTGGGAGAGGTCATCACACACACACACACACACACACAAAACTTGTATACACGCAGGCATGCACAAACGCACACACACACAGAGCCTGTTATGATTTTATCATCGCAAGGTCAATTGAAAACAAACAAACCAGCAGACCACATGTTACACCTCTCCGCCTTTAAGATAGTGCAGTAGATAGAGCCATCAAAGGCAGGAAAGCGTATTTTCTTTATCGTTCCTGCCCACCCTCAAACAGATGGTAAAGGAAGTTATGTAAATGTATATAAATATATATATACACTACCGTTCAAAAGTTTGGGTTCACTTAGAAATGTCCTTGTTTTCGAAAGAAAATCATTTTTTTTGTCCATTAAAATAAAATAAAATAAATCAGAAATACAGTGTAGACATTGTTAATGTTGTAAATGGCTATTGTAGCTGGAAACTGCTGATTTTTTATGGAATATCTACATAGGCGTACAGAGGTTCATTATCAGCAACCATCAGTCCTGTGTTCCAATGGAACGTTGTGTTTGCTAATTCAAGTTTATCATTTTAAAAGGCTAATTGATCATTAGAAAACCCTTTTGCAATTTTGTTAGCACAGCTAAAAACTGTTGTGCTGATTAAAGAAGCAATAAAACGGGCCTTCTTGAGACTAGTTGAGTATCTGGAGCATCAGCAATTGTGGGTTCGATTACAGGCTCAAAATTGCCAGAAACAAATAACTTTCTTCTGAAACTCGTCAGTCTATTCTTGTTCTGAGAAATTAAGGGTATTCCATGAGAGAAATTGCCAAGAAACTGAAGATCTCGTACAACGCTGTGTACTACTCCCTTCACAGAACAGCGCAAACTGGCTCTAACCAGAATAGAAAGAGGAGTGGGAGGCCCCGGTGCACAACTGAACAAGAGGACAAATACATTAGAGTGTCTAGTTTGAGAAACAGACGCCTCACAGGTCCTCAACTGGCAGCTTCATTAAATAGTACTCGAAAAACACCAGTCTCAACGTCAGCAATGAAGAGGCGACTCCGGGATGTTCACTTAGGCGTAGTACACAGGAGTAGTACACAGCATTGTACGAGATCTTCAGTTTCTTGGCAATTTCTCGCATGGAATAGCCTTCATTTCTCAGAACAAGAATAGACTGACGAGTTTCAGAAGAAAGTTATTTGTTTCTGGCCATTTTGAGCCTGTAATCGAACCCACGATTGCTGATGCTCCAGATACTCAACTAGTCTCAAGAAGGCCAGTTTTATTGCTTCTTTAATCAGCACAACAGTTTTCAGCTGTGCTAACATAATTGCCAAAGGGTTTTCTAATGATCAATTAGTCTTTTAAAATGATAAACTTGGATTAATAAACACAACGTGCCATTGGAACACAGGACTGATGGTTGCTGATAATGGGCCTCTGTACACCTATGTAGATATTCCATTAAAAATCAGCAGTTTCCAGCTACAATAGCCATTTACAACATTAACAATGTCTACACTGTATTTCTGATCAATTTGATGTTATTTTAATGGAAAACATTTTGTATACTGAACAAAAATATAAACGCAACATGTAAAGTGTTGGTCCCATGTTTCATGAGCTGAAATAAAAGATCCCAGAAATTTGCCATGCGCACAAAAAGCGTATTTCTCTCAAATGTTATGCACAAATTTGTTTACATCCCTGTTGGTAAACATTTATCCTTTTCCAAGATAATCCATCCACCTGACAGGTGTGGCATAACAAGAAGCTAATTAAACAGCATGATCATTACACAGGTGCACCTTGTGCTGGGGACAATTAAAGGCCATTCTAAAATGTGCTGTTTCGTCACACAACACAATGCCACAGATGTCTCAACTTTTGAGGGAATGTGCAATTGGCATGCTGACTGCAGGAATGTCCACCAGAGCTGTTTCCAGATAATTTAATGTTCATTTCTCTACCATAAGCCGCCTCCAACGTCATTTTAGAGAATTTGGTGGTGGGGGGGGGGGGGGGGGGGGGGCTGAGTATTTCTGTCTGTAAGAAAGCCCTTTTGTGGGGAAAAACTCATTCTGACTGGCTGGGCCTGGCTCCCAAGTGGGTGGGCCTCTGCCCAGTCATGTGAAATCCATAGATCTGGGCCAAATCAATTTATTTCAATTGACTGATTTCCTTATATAAACTGTAACTCAGTAAAATCTTTGAAATTGTTGTATGTTGCATTTATATTTTTGTTCAGTAAACAAAAAGAAGATAACATTAAGTCTGTGCTAGCAGTGAAACCTTCAGCTGTATATTATAGGACCCTATGTTGCTCCCCTGGTCATGGCTGACTGACATTTAAGAGATAAGTGTACTTGCCTTGGTCACACAGGCTCCCCATCCAGCCCTCTTTACAGATGCACTGCCATGCTTTCTCACAGGTCCCATGTAGACAGCCAGGGAAGGGCATGCACTGCTTGCATGTTACACCATGCCAGCCTGGTCTGCATCTGAAAACATGATTCAGATGATGTGACCATTGTTATGCTTCACAAAAAAAAATCTCACTCAGCTGGACTATTATTGGATGTTTCCACCAGGTGTTTATTGTATAATTGATTGGGAAAAAGTTGATTTTTATATAGTTGTAGGCCTAAATAATAAATCTGACTTGGAATTAGCTGACTGTGATGACGTGACTGTGTGGAAATGGGGTGAAATAGGGTGAAAATGTAATGTTTATGTTGAGGAAACATGGTTGATAGAGAAATGTACCATATTTATTACATAATTTGAGTGGCATTTCATTACCGGCATTCCCCAGGATTTTCACAGTAGCCGTTTTCCGGATTGCACCCTGCGCTGCATTCAAAAGCTTATGTGAAAGACAAAACACGAGATTAGTTACGAATTGCCTTTTCAAATACCTCAAAGATAAATATAACCATTTATCAAACAATTGCTTATCATGAAAATACTCTCAGCTAGTAAGTGGTTTATTATTACGTTATTAAAACTCAATGACAATAGCCTACAGAAAACAGATTCTCACAACCTCTATGTAATTACCATTGCTACACCTATGGGACTGTGGATACATACTGTGTTAAATTACCTTTAGTGACGCCAACACTCACGACCAGAAATAACCCAAATGTTGTTCGGCACATCCTAATTTTCAGCATGCGTCTTCTCCTGTAAAATGGGCATTTGTCAAGTCGCAGCACAGTTTTTATTTTCTCTGTCCAAAATAAATGCTGGGTTTCTAGGAACAGCCTATTGCGCTCAACACGTCCAGTCCCTCGCTTCCAAAAAAACAGGTTCACACTGTTGAAAAGTTGATGCGGCCATCAAATATGCGTGCATTCAGCGTTACACATGAAATACAATTTGGCATGCCCTTATTCTGAAAGAATACACTGCCATCAAGCGCCAAATAGACTAGGATACCCCGTTACTAGGATACCCCGTTACGCACGAGCAGAAAATAAAATGTGACATGGGAACTATATCCTAAAACGTTCCGATATTTACTTCAATCTTCAGTGTTAAATGATTAACATTGCATGAAATGTAATATTTGACCTATGTCGTGTAGTTGCTCCCCTAGCTATTGATGTCAGTCATATTGGATGCGTTCAAGCATGGCACTGTTTTCAATGGAATAAAGACTGCAGTGTAGCTATTCAGACGAGGTTTTTGTGTCAAATTGGAGACTGCATAGTGATCCACGCTTGGCTCCTCCCACCTGATTTGGGAAAGGAGCTGTCGAGCACCCTGACCTGAACACACGAGGGGAAAGGCACATGTAAAATTAAGGGCTCTATTTTCGCCTGGCGCTAAGGGTGTGCAAGTGTCAAAAGTTAGTTTGTAATTTCCTCATGTAAAAACTGCACTGGCATTTTCCAGCCCTAAAGCCAGGTTCGGCAATTTACGTGTCTAACATCATCTTGCTTGCGCTAAGATGGGAGAGGTGGCACTATTTGAGGTGTCCTTAAAAACAAGCACAAACAGTTACAATTTAATGGAGTGCTAATTGGACGTTTTAAGACCCACAAAAAGCAGGTCTTAATAGTAATGCCGTTTTTAATTGGGGAGCGCAGCCTCAGTGGCTGGGCCATGCGCCTGCCACTGATGTCTATTTTTTCATTCATAAACCTTTTTAATTTCCATATGTACTAGGAAGCTAAGTGTTTGTTTCTTGGGCTTCAGGAATGTGACTGAAAAAGTGCCCCAGGTCTTTAAAAAAAAACAAATCTACTGATTTAAAGTATAAGGGAGATATCGGCGAACAAATGCCATGGTCAAGGCGACGACGGCGCCAGTGCAATGAGTGGAGTTTACTCAGGTGTTCAAAAGCTCATATCAGACGGAGAGCCTAATGCTTCTTATGTAGGTATTTATACGTTTTAGTTTTGAAAACGATCTCTCACGACAGTTACAGGGATGGTAAAAACAGCTCAATTGCCGTAGCAACATCAGGGAAACTGGGCAGAAGGGAGGAGTGCTTCAAATATAATATAGCAGTTCCGCAACATCTTTAATTGAGCCTCTCATTCTCCTTAATTGCCGGCCTCAACACGTTACAGAAAGAGATTAACTGTATAGGAAGCTCTGGGGACAGGGCGTCTGGATACTGGATAGGCAATACATTGGCGGATGCAAACAGATTATCATATTTAACAGACAACAGTTCTTGAGGGCTTGAACAAATAAAGTGTTTTGCGATTTTCGTTCATACCGATGAACATGCGTTTGAGTTGTGTGGTTGCAATATCAATAGTCCTTTATCTCTGGCATATCTTGGCATGCGTCATTCAAGACTACTGGGGGGAAGGGGTGGGCCCAAAATAGAGGAGGGTTGTCACTTTTATGTTTTGCTTTGGGGGAGGGTTGTGTGGTTTTTTATTGGGCACAGGGGAGGGTAGTACGTTTTTTCCCTGGTTTATGTTTGCTATTTTGCAAGTTTTACTATATATTTTTTTCTTCCATCCTAGCCAAATGTCCTCATCTGCTTGCATGCGCCTCCCCTATATCAAGGTGTTTTGGTACTTCCCTTATGCACTACGATTTTCTGTGTGCTAACTTTTACTGCACCACAGGTCAGTATCTACCAGTCTAACAGTCTATCCTGCGCTATATCCACCATTCATAGTGATAATAGTGGTAGGTGGGTCGTTTGTCCAGATCTGCAATAGGCTAACTAGAAATCATACCACGCACAAAATCATTCAAAGCTGCATAAATGTTTTATATGAATAGACAAGAACAAATAGGAATAGCTGATAGGCAGTGGAGAGGCCAGGTGAAAGATTGTGCATGAAAGAAAAGTGAATATGTGACACACAGCTCAAAAATCTCCCCTATTGATCTAGTTTAGGGACAATACAATGATCCTACCTAGACTAGCCTACAACACCACAATGCAATGAATAGTTTTCAACATTCTAGCCTTCTCTAGGCTGCAGTGAAAATGTTATTTGAATAACGGCGCAAAAGCCCTGTGATGTGAATGTTTCATTCCATTTGGATCAGTTGTGGGTCTACCCTCTACAGTTTATAAGGTCTAGAAAGGCACAGTAGCAGGCCAGACTGGCTGTATTTTTTACTTTGTTTTATATTTGACTGAGATGTGAGCTCTGTTACACATCATCATTCTCCCAGGTCGTTTTATAATAACGTGGCCACATATGGTCCTGGCAGGCCCAGTTATTCAGGAAAGCTTAACACACACTCTGCCTCCTCTCCAAACCTAGATCCTAACGCTTCAATATAGCCTATATATTTATCATTTAACTTTTTTAAAGTATTACCTTTTATATGTAGCATAAACACAACCAGTCACAATGTTTTAATCTGAGTAGGCTACTTCAAAAAGCTCCTGTAGGCATGCGCATGTTCATCCAAAATATAATTCCAGCATCCTCAAAATGGCTTGACATTAACCAGGTTTCCATTCAACCTTTTTATGCAAGTAAAGTACATGTCTGATAAAAAATGCCCTCACATCATGGGAAAGCATGCAGTTTATTAGGCTACAGATGAAATAAATTATCATGAACGGCACAGGGTGTTGAAAGTGCACAGTGATGAGGTTGATGCTCCTTTCAATAAATAGCGAGGGTCTTATTCTGGTGAGATGATGATTGATGCTTGGCTGCCATTTGACAAATAAAAATAATCTCGCACTTTTGTCCATAATAATCTCATCATGTAGTAGGCTATACCTCCACTGTATCTGCAATCTGCTGGCTAGAGTGCACATGCCAATACCAGAGAGGGTACATTCACTATACCTATGCAAAACATTTTTGTGACAAATCCATCAGTATCCCTAGAGTTGAAAATGTGATGGAAACCCATTGAATTTGTATTTTTTATTTGGTACTTTGGAATTGAACCTCAAAAGGTATTTTTATGTGTACTATTTATTTACACAAATACTTTTATCTGCAACAAGTCAATTTGATGGAAACACAACTCTGATTGTTGCTCCAGGCTTTCCCTTAGCTGGTAATTGCTGGCATTTGGCCGATAAAAAAATGAAAAGCCAATAAATAAAATTGTAGCAGGCCAAATTGTCCAGGAGAGGCTGTCTAGCATATCCTACACACCGAATTCACGCTTCGGCACTATTCTCTCACGCCTTGCGCACATGTGCACCTGCTGCTGAGGAGAGAGAGAGCAACAGAGGAGCCTTGGCCTAGGCTACTGTTGATTGTAAAGATGGGGAATTTAATGTACGTTTTTATATTGTAGTGGACGAAGATGAGAAGAATGCAGGCTAATGTGCAACTCCCTATTCAGGTAGGATGCAATTTTGGAACTTACATTTATTTATAATAATTAGTTTGATCATTATTATTATTATTATTATTGTATATCATTATTATTATTGTAAGCCTATTTATTAATCAAACCAGTTCTTTAAATATGCACAATCTGTTTTGTTTAATTCTGTTGAGACATTTTCATTGGCTAAATTAAATTCGATCTGTGTTTTTAATTGTGTGCTACATATCCATAATTTGTTTAAGATAGGTTATAAGTAGGTCTGTTGTAAAATAAATAACATTAGCCTATTTCTGTCATTTGTTGGGTATGGTAGGCACTTGCCTTTGTTGGTAATTGCTGTAATATAGCCTGTTTAAACCAGCATTTTGTTTCATTCTGTTGAGACATTTTCTTTGGTCAAATGAAGTTCCAATTGTAATGCTGTGTTAACCGCAATATAATAGCCTGCTTGTATTTTCCCTATAAACAATGGCTTAACGTTTGATATTACCCTAATATTATTACCCGGCCCGGCCTGTTCCTGCCACTCGCACCGAGCCTACGGTGCGCGTCGCCAGCCCGGCCCGGCCTGTTCCTGCCACTCGCACCAAGCCAGGGGTGCGAGTCGTCAGCCCGGCCCGGCCTGTTCCTGCTCCCCGCACCAAGCTAATGGTGCGCGTCGCCAGCCCGGCCCGGCCTGTTCCTGCCACTCGCACCAAGCCTACGGTGCGCGTCGCCAGCCCGGCCCGGCCTGTTCCTGCCACTTGCACCGAGCCTACGGTGCGCGTCGCCAGCCTGGCCCGGCCTGTTCCTGCCACTCGCACCGAGCCTACGGTGCGCGTCACCAGCCCGGCCCGGCCTGTTCCTGCCACTCGCACCAAGCCTACGGTGCGCGTCGCCAGCCCGGCCCGGCCTGTTCCTGCCACTCGCACGAAGCCTACAGTGCGCGTCGCCAGCCCGGCCCGGCCTGTTCCTGCCACTCGCACCGAGCCTACGGTGCGCGTCGCCAGCCCGGCCCGGCCTGTTCCTGCCACTCGCACCAAGCCAGGGGTGCGAGTCGTCAGCCCGGCCCGGCCTGTTCCTGCTCCCCGCACCAAGC